GGATGAGCAATGGAGACGCATTTCGTCAATGGTAGAAGTCATGCCTTGCCAAAAGAATGAGGCATTCGCGCGGGAGCACATTTGAGACACACCCTGATGGGCAGAGTGTAGTGATCGCAGAACTTTGTCACGAAGACTAGGGAGGATCACAATGCGGTCGTTACAAAGGACCACACCGTCAAAAGTGTTCAAGTTGTCTCTAAATTGATAGTAAACACTGAGTTCGTCCGGGAGATCCCTTTTCATCTGTGGGAATCCGTTCTCGATAAGATTGAGTAGATTGTTCATAGAACTGTCGGTGTTCGTGGCAAGGCGCACGTCATCCCATGTCAGAGAACTGAGGCCTAGGCAAGCATCCTCGCCAGAGCATACTGTTGATATCCTCATGTATCTGATTGTTCCTCGTCTTGCCCAGGCATGACATCGTCGGGTAGTGGCAAGTGTGCTGGGAGGCCGACGGGGTGTCTCGAGATGGCATCAGCAGCAGCGTGACGCATTTCTGGAATATGTACTATGCGAAACCTGAATTGCAAGGTTTTTTCTTTGAGGTTCTGGAGGTGAGGGTTCGGTATAGCGTCTAGGCTTCTGTCTCCAAATACCCCCAGAAGGGGTTTGTGGTCTACTGTTACTATGAGATTCGGACAACCAAGGACGAAGTGACGTGTTTTCTGGAGGGCGTCCACCACTGCTTGTGCTTCACCCTCAACAAAGAACAGAAGGGTTGCATCCTCTCTGCAGATGCGAATGCGTATGACATCTGGTTGACAAGGCCGAACCAACTGCGTATTCAGTAATGTTTTGTGGAGTGGGAAATTTCTCTATAGCCTCCAGAGTTTGTGGGCATAGTGTCACACGGTTTGAAGAGATCTCGAAACCTGCAAATGTAACGGTTTCTCCCGCAAATTGGAACTTGCTGGGGTTGAGGATGATTCCGTTCCGTCCACATAGGTCAAGCCATTCCGCGGCGTGGAAGAAACATTCTTCGATGGTGTCTGACCCCATAATGGTGTCGTCTATGACTTTCTTTTTGTTTTTGAAATCGTTGACTATTTCATCAAATCGTCGCATGTATGCATCTCCTGAGGCGACATACCCCTGAGGGCAGTCTCGATGTCGGTATTGACCCCATGGTGTGATGAAAGTGATGCGGTGTCGATCTTTTTCATCCAGGGGAATACTAGGATGCCCATTCCAGGCATCAAAAGTGGTTTTCCGCGTGTTGGGTGGCACAGAACAAGCCTGATGGAACAGCGACTATTGTCTGGTTATATGGGTCGGTGAGTGTTTGAAAAGAAAAGCCATGGACCTACGGGGGTTTGGGGGAGGGTGAGGGTTTAAATTAAAAGGGTAAAACAAACCATTGGGTTTCCAAGTCTTGATGAACGAGGGGCGCCTTTGTTGCAAGTGCATGCCGATGTCCACCATTACTGACAGGGTAAAGAGCAGCCACTACAAGTAACCTTTTGTATATGATTAAATTTAGAAGAAATTGTTCTGCTTACCTGCTAAGGAGGGGGCTAATGGATTAATTAGGAAAGTTCGCACGCCTCACTTATAAGCAGCTAAAAATTTGTTACTGACTGGTCAACTTGAGTAAACTGTGAGAAGTTCATGTGTAAGAGGAGGGGTTAACAATAACAACGTGTGAATGGATTTCAGTAGCTGGACCACAGCGTAAGGGGCCGATGATATATGTATATATATATATATATATAAA